TAGGGGGTCATATGATTGTTGGGCTTTTCTCTGTATCTATGAAGCGCCTTGAGGTGACTTTTGTTGTGATTTGGCGCTATATAAATAAAATTGAATTGAATTGAATTGAATTACTTGCAGGCGAAGAGCAGATCGGATCAATTTTTCACATGCAGCAGTCGGAAGAAACTTATAGGTGAACATCATTAGAAACACTCAGGCCGAGTTTTTGGCTGAATTGTTTACAGCTTCACTCCTGTGCGTTTCTCAGCCTGACAAAGCAAGCTCCAAGAAATGCAGTTCCAAAGAGCAACAACATGGCAGTCCAAGAGACAGCAGTGTCCTGAGTGAGAGATCCAGCAAGCAGCTGCAGTATGTGCAAACGGCATCAGAAGGGAAGAGAAAACCCATCACCTTGACTGGATGGAGATGAGTTTCCAACAAACTTCAACTTCACTGTGTGTGAAGAAGACTTTTGAGAAGACTGTCTGAGTTGACATTGCCACGTTTGGAGTGGAATGGCAATGAAAGAGACAGTAGGGGGTTGCACAGGACAAAGATGAAGAGAGCTGATCTGCCACTGGACTGCTGAAGTGGGAGAGGAGAACAGAGTGGAAGGAGAACACAGAGGAATGCTGTTGTTTAGTGTGGAAAATTAAATTCGGGTTAGCAAACCCGAAGGAGGAGTCTGGAGCACCACAAAACGAAAAAGGTACTCAAAATCACGCACAAACAGAAAATGCATTAACCTTACTAACAATTACATACAAATAAAATGAAACTCATGAAGGTCAGACAGCTTAAGCAAGTGTTTCTGTTTTTCATCGTGTCCAGTTCACTTAGTGAGATGAAAAGTGATACATAGACTAGTGGACTAGTATTATATTAGGAAAGATGATTGAATTATAGCTGGGGAAAACAGAATGCTGATGAGGGGTCTTGAATGAGTGAACCCATTTTAATTTTCCAAATTAAAATGGGTTCTGGAGAAAGCCACTTATTTGGGAGACAATCAGATAGCAAGTCCCTGTCAAAAAGGATTCAGCACAGACAGACAAGTGACAAAAGAAAGCAAGATGTGCAGTGATTATTAGAACTGTTTAATGTTGGGCTAATTATTTGATCACTATTGAGCTCATAGACATAAAGTGAGTGACATTGCTTAAGGAAAGTATCTGATTAGAGTAATTTGAAATAAATACATGGGATGATCCATGATTTGGGACAAATTATGGCAC